TAGTTGATGGGTTTGGTCGGGTAATCATGAATTGCTTCGATTGTTCCAGGCTCTGAAGAAGGCGATCCGCGCCGAAACGTTAGCCGGAATAAAGTTGTTTTCTTATCAACCTCGAGTTCAAGCAAAGAAAACCAACGGATACACTGATTGTTTGCAATCTATCAATGAAAAGGGAAAGTTCACGTACTATTTCGTGAGAGCATTACCCACCCTGATTATATACCGGTTCTGTAGGGTTTCGGAACAATTCATTTGGCAAACGCTGCTTATTCCGGCTATTATGGACACCACGACTGCTACTGCCGTAACATAACCGCTAAACAGTGTGGGTCGATATAAATGGAATACATTCATTTCTTTTTTGCATGGTTCTGCTGGTCTTTTACCCATTCTCACGGGTTCGTACCAACCCCTGAACCGGGTTCAAAAACTCAGTTCTCATTATGTGATCACAATTGTAACAATTAGCATGCGTATCATATTATGGTCGTAACCGACACAACAGCACCGATTGGCCGACAGTGTCGATCTTCAAGCAACGGCTTCGAGAGGATCCTGCTTAATTGCATATGGAATTGCAAGTACCCTAAAATTCCGTAGATAAGAGCGGTTGAAACTACCGGTGAAAAATGAATTGGAATGAAATTGAAATTGAATGCAGTCACCCTCTAACTTGATGGATGGATAAATTAAACTTCGAANTTCGAAGTTTAATTTATCCATCCATCAAGTTAGAGGGTGACTGCATTCAATTTCAATTTCATTCCAATTCATTTTTCACCGGTAGTTTCAACCGCTCTTATCTATGGAATTTTAGGGTAATCGATTGTGAGGAAGTGGTATGACTCAATTCCACATTGACTTCACCACCAATGGTGAAGCGGGTAACCCGATCCCCATTTCCTCAGTTGTTTGTGAATGTTCTACATTCTCTGGCGAAATACAGACGATTATGTCAGTTGGCAGTCAAATAATGACCTCACCGTTGATTTGTATAGCACGAGCCGACGCTAAGTGCATCGTTGATATGATTATGCTACTACCAGTAGCACAGAACTGTTACTGATTGGTTGTCTCGGGATTGACCATTTACGCGCAAAGAGCGAATCGCATAATTGAGCAATTCTTTTCGGTTCACCCGCCGTATCTTCGGTGTCTTCGAGGAAATACTCGACGCCACGAATGACTGCGCAGACTTTAGACTGCCCATCTAGATCGACATGAGGAATATACATGTGTGTGCGTTGTTTGAGTGTTGTGTATGTTGTGTGTGTAGTGTGTGTATTGTGTATGCGTTCCGTGTGTTGTGG